ATAGTAGCAAGTTTCAACATTTTCTGATGTATCTTAGGCGAGATATGGCAAAAGACCGACCGCAATTATCATATGGCTACTGCTGAACTTCGTTGTCGAAAATTTCAATGCGAGAGGAATTTCAGTGCGAGTTTGTTTCCTATGTCACACATAAAACTTATCCGATGTAAGTAGTAAAGCAAATAGGGGACGGTTTAACACTTGCAGCCCGTCAAATGTACTGTATATATTCACAAATACTTAATACCGAACATTATTTGTCAGGTGGAACCTATTTTCTGAAGAAATATGAAAGTTCCGTACCGAACTTTGTTTTGGATAGAACCTTTGGGAGGGTTCGATGTAAGACCCATGGAAAGATCCTTTAAGCGGTTCTGTCTGTGCCCTTATTTTTTAGATAGTAGTCGAAAAAGTATATACAAAAGCACTGAATAGGCACGCACCATACACTAACATTAGAGATCTCAAAAGCGACAGTCCATTCTACAGCAAGGGTGCTTCAATGTTTTATTTGCATGTCAACTTTTACCCACTTGTTTACATATAGCAAAAGATTTCTCTTCACAACAGCTCTGTTCTGTCCGATGGTGTACATCGCTTATTAATTATTGGTCAAACAGGTGTCGATAAAAGTAGCTCGATAAATTTATTAGCTGGTGAAAATCTTGCCAAGTAAATGATGGTGCGATTGGTTGTACATTTCAATTTGTGAAATCGAAAGTAGAACATAATGATGAAATTTATGATCTTTGAAACTTCTAAATAACTACTGAGAGAATTTTTTACTTTCATTATCTTCTCTAATATTGAAGCTAGGTTCGGGAGAGCTGGATCTTAGAGGTTTTCGAGCAAGCTGAATCTAATGGCATTATCTGTTTGTTCGGCCCCCGTACACAATTTTTACCGACAAGCCAGGGTTTCTGGAAAACCTTTCACAGAGATCAAGCGTTCTACGACAAAAGCTTGGCTTTTTCTGCGTTCGTACCAAGAAAAGACTTACAAACATATAAGATCACCAATACATGCCCCCTAATTTTAGGGTTTCCTAGAGGTATTCTAGAAAACCTTTACAAATTTTGTGTTCTAAAGACTATTTTCTGCTATATATATTGAAGTATTTTAGAGGGCTAATGTCAATTAAGTGTGCTGTTTAAAACTGCACAGATCCCGTCTCTCTGTCTTTTTTGCTTAGGGAGTCACAGGCATTTTCCGATTCTTCACAGTCTTAGCTTGGAAACTAGAAAAAGCGATGGACTATACGTTATCGGTATTACTGATCATCTTGGTACTATTTGCTTTTAGAAAATTTTAAAAATCTAGCGAAAAACCAGTTTTACGAAAATGAGGGTTTTCAGCTTGTATTCACCTAATATTAAAAGGTTAATGGAGTGTTTAGGGCGGCGAAAACTGAGCCAAAAGAATACCTGAAACTTCTGTAATTTTTGATTTTTCAGGAAAACGTTATGAGAGAACAGCATAATGAAGTAAGCAAATGCACCGATCAATCGTTTGAATGCACTTAAAACGGTTTCGTACTGCACCTTGTCTTCTACGAAAGCTAAAAGGCTTTAGAAATGATTGCGCTTCTCCATACCCTTTTAAGTTTCGTAATAAACCTCTTTTTTTAGAGAGTACAAGACTAATATGATTGTTTGACTCTGATGTCTAAGACTATTCTAAGGAATAAGTGCTCCATAAAACTGCACCGCTCAAAAATCAACTTTCCGGAATCCCATTATAATTACGGGGGCGGAAAAAATTGATAATGCCATTAGATGCAACATGCTCCAAAACCACTAAGATCCAACTCTCCCGAATTTACTGCTTCTGGATGTAACGCTGTAAGCATATTTTTAAACTAAAAAATCCTCTCATACATTTAAACTAATTTCAGCAATCAAAGGAATTCGAACAATTTTAGATCGAAAACCGTTCGGATCAAATCAAAAAACTATTTTGCATTCAAAATTTAATTCGAATTAATTTAAAATTCTGACTAAGGATAAAATAAAAATTACGAAATTACTTCACATTAATTTAGAAAAACGAAAAGAATAAAAATTAATTTTATTTAATTTTTTCACCAAAAAATTTATTTTTCTTACTACTAAAAACAGTCTGAAAAGACTAGTTTACACAATGCTTCGATTTCGTTAGGTTCTCAAACTTTTTCTAGAAATAAATATTACCACGAGACTCAGAGACAACATATGTTTTCTTGCATTTCAGAAGAACACTTAGAACTATCTATCGATGTAAAAGAGTTTATATATTAATATGTCAGTTTCCTGAAACCCGAGCTGGTTTTCGAGAGATCCCGTAGAGAACCGGTCTTACCAATAATTTTCTATAGCGATGTTGCTTGTGAAAGTGTCTTTTCGGTGTATTGAAAATCGCAAGTGTTTATCTTTTATCGTTTTGTAGTTATTCGAAAAACAACCGAATGCCTTAGATTTTGGCGTCGGTAATAGTTCTTTAGAAATTTTTAGTAAAAAGACATTGGTCGATGTAAATGAATATTTGACTGATAGTTTATATAGACTTGTAGTGTTATTCGAAAGCAGACGGACGCATAGGCCTACTCAAAAACTTATTAAACTTAATCTTGATGTATTAGTTCAAATCACTGGTAGAAGATGAAAGCATCTTTCACGAATTTTTTATCAGAATCGCTTATTTTGACTCATTTTCATACGTAAAGTCTTCTATTAAAAGAATTAATCTAGTGCTTTCTTTATCATAATAGCTTGCGCTAGAGTCTAATAGATTTTTAATGACATGATGAGAATATTGATGTAAAAGTTAAATCAACATGTATTCTTCTGGATAATCTTGTGAATAATTATTTAGCCACAATGGAGTAGACGTACTTTGTTGTGCTTGTTTTTGTTGCCAAACATATTCTATTCTTTGCCTTATTAAATGTTGTTTGTCCTTTGTTATTCGAAATTGAGTATGCTCTTTATTTAAACCTAAACTCAAATAATTTCTCATTCCATGTACTCTAGCTTGATTATGATACGGCATTAATTTCAATTGTCGACTATTAAATATACCAGTTGCCATACTAAATGTACTTAATCCACCAATTAAAATATCTTCACGTAATAAACGATTAAATGTTTCAGATGTTCGACCATTTAAAAAAAATGACAAACGACAACGTGAATTAGGTAATGCTTTTTGTAAATCAATTAGTATATCATTAAAATCATTTATTATACCTTCACTATATATTGTAATTAAATAATTATTTTTTGCTCGTAATTCAAGTGGAAGAGCATTAATAATAAATATTATTAATGGTATATAAGCTGAATTAGCAACATAACGATTAAGCATAATTGAACTAATACGACCTTCGCGCGTTCGTTTTATAACATCACCATGACGTATGTGTACTCCAATCAACAAAATATCATGTACATTAATTGATGAACATTGAATAGGTTTAAAAGATTGAATTAAGTCATTAGTTATTGTACTTTTATTTGTATTATTATTTGTAATGATATATTGAAAATAATCAGTTGGTAAGTAGTTTGATAAAACGGGTATACCTGCCCAAACGCCAGTATATTCATTAAATAATTTACGATGTTGTAACCACCAACGAATTTCAAATACAACACCCGTTTCCATTAATGATGATGTAATTGTAAAAGTTTGTCTTGAAAATAATGTAAAACCATTATGTTTTTTCTTATCAATATTTTTACTATTATTTTTAAGATTATTTGTAAAATTATCAAATAATGTTTTAAAATGAGATTTAATTGTGTATGGTTGTTTACCAAAATGATGTTGATCATATGTTTGATTCCACATTAAATCATATATAAATATATTTTGTTTAACAGATGAATTTTCTGGACATGAAAGATAAGCTGAATATGGAATTTCCCAATCAAAAAATTGCCAGTATTTTTCTCTATCTAAATTATTTTCTTGATCAGTATGTTCTGCACCCCAATCTAAATGTATTAATGTTAAATTTAATGAATAGGCTATATTTATAATACCTAAATACCACATTAATTGTGAACCAGTACCATGCCAAACATGTGATGTTAAAGAATCATTTAATAATAAATAACGACCATTTTCACAATCAATAATTGGATGATAAGTTAATAACATTGAAAATTTATTTTTTAATGTTTTAAAATAATGATCAACTGCTTTATCAATATCTAGACGACAAGGTGTACTGTCTGACATACAATAAGCTAGTAAATTTTCAATCAAACATGAATTATAAGTACCGAATAGTGGATCATGTGTAGGAGTTAAATAAATAATATAGATTATAGATGAAAGAGAAAAGCAACAGACGATAAAACTGAGAGCAAATGTAAATTTATGAAAAATATAACGATGTCGTTTGCCGGCATATCGAATATAAAATAGTTTTCGTATCGAACAAACACGCATATCTAGAAAATTGATAGTCATAAATTTCATTTGTCTTATATCAGCTATTCAAACCAAAAAAAAAGTAATCTATAGCACTGTCGCATCTGACGACTCTGAACATTGATTCATTATGAGAATACAGCCCCAAAAATCGATTTTGGGGCTATCTGACAAACGTGTCTAAAAGAGTGACGCCGAGCAACCGAAAATTGAACAAGTATATCAGTTTGTAGAAAATTGTTTGTTCTACAAGATGTGATAGCTTACCAAGTTCGAAACTATTTTAGTTAATCGGTATTAATCAAAGAAAAACCAGAAAAATCGTGACGGTGTGACACTTTTGATCGTTTTTTGTCACCGTTTTTCTGGTTTTTCTTTGATTAATACCGATTAACTAAAATAGTTTCGAACTTGGTAAGCTATCACATCTTGTAGA